AAGCATGACAGTGCCAGACTGTTTCATCGGACTTTCACCCACTCATCAGGAGGTTCAACCCCAACAGTTTTCCCAGGATACCGTGTGAAAAGTGGCACATGTGTGTGTGTGAGAATGCCCCCTATGCTTGCCGGTGATAAGCAACCGGACTGCTGCCCCCCAGAATAGATGGGGCTTTTGTTTGTTGGGAAAAAAAAAAAAAAAAGGAATGCGTGTGTGTGCGTGCGTGCGTGTGTGTGTGTGTGTGTGTGTGTGTGTGTGTGTGTGTGTGTGAAAGATAGAGAGCCACCACCATCATTGTTCAAACGGGCTGCATTCGACAGTGCGTTCAAACACTCGTCGCCATGTGCAATGGAATGGGATGAGCCAAGGCCGTGCTTCACTTGGGAGTGTTTAGGGCATCGCCACATGAAATGTGCAAAATCAGAATGAACTTCCCGCTAGAACATGGCCGGATGTGCCCGTCACATTTTTGTCTCTCACATTTCGAGAGTGATGTGGAGAGGCCCTTACTTTATGTTTCCAGAATCCACGGGAGGGCGTTGACGCACCACTGACCAAACATGTTTTGGTCAGTGGCGTCGAGGCCCCAGAGGCACAGTATCGGCTCGTTTTCGTTTTTCTTTTCTGCTCTCTCCTTTTGCCCCTTTTTGTGACAGCTCCTGGCCAGTGGTGCACCGAGGCCCGTCACATTCCGTTTTGTTTTTTTAACCTGGTTTCTAGGCTACCAGCCGGGCCGCCCGGGTCCCGGGTGGCCAGCCCGTGCAAGGATCAGGGGTCCCAGCGAAAAAAAAAAAAAAAAAAAAAAATCCAAAAATTCTGAAAAAAAAACTATGTGATGCAGAAAAATAAACTGAACAACTTTTGCCTCAGGGTCACATCGAAATTCTTCACCAAATTTAAAATAAAAAATAAAATTTAAAAATATTTTATTTATTTTTATTTTTTCTAATTATTTTGGCCCGGCCGGGCAAGTGACCCCAGGCCACTCTGGTAGCCTAGCCTGGTTTCCTTTTTTTTTTTTAATACGTAGTTTCATTTTTTTTTCCCCGCGGTGAGTAGTTGCGCCTGTAGTTTCCTTCTTTTCAGTCGTTTTTTCGGGTGCATTTTCAGGCAAGCTGTCAATAGAGGCCGGGAATTTCGCTGCTTATCGGACAGCCCATCTCACCGATGGGCAGAATCTGGTCAGGTAGGTTGCGACGTAGCATTACACCCGACCGGAAGAACTTTAATAGAAGGTTTCGTAGATTCTGTAGCCGAACTCCATGGAGGGACCTCTCTCATGGAGGCCTCGGATCTTGACAGCTCATCTAATTGTGTGCAGTGGAGTTCTTTCACATCGTACAGCCAGCCAAACTAACTGAGCCTCATTGCACTCCCTACCAACAACCGTTCCAACTTACCAGGCGCTTAAGCTCCTGCTTCTCCTCGAGTTCTGCTTCCTCTTTCTGCCTGGAGCTCAGGGCTAGCGAACAGTCCAATGGAATCTGGCAGTCACGAAAACAACATAGCCAAACCACAGGAAAACTGTTACCAATCTTTTTCTTCTCTCCCCCTTTTTTCCGTTTACAAAGTCGTCAACAGTTCTTTCGACACACAAATACTCGCGCACGCATGCACACACACACACACACACACACACACACTCTCCTACATTTGAATAGTTAAGTTACCAATACCAATTTGGGTTCTTTAAGACCTTTACAGAACCAACGAATATTTACATATGTATAAATAGAATATATAGATATGAATTTAGGTAAATACTAAATACACAAAAAAAAAAATTTGATCGATGATGGGTCATAGGGTTAGACCCTCACCCCCTATTTCTGAGATCTGTAGGGAACAATGGCCCACACCTTTAAGTGATCCTCAGGGCCCTTTACCTGTCGAAACATGGTACCAATTTCCCCGCGGTCCCATCCACCATTAAAACATTCCCCCCCCCTCCCCCCCCTGTTTTTTTCTCAATTGGAACTCCTTCGGCTGCAGAGAGTAGTATTTAAACAACCACCCCGTCTATTCATACCTCCTCGTAGTTTCTTCGTGGGACTCGTACGCTAGCAGCGCGACTGAATCGACGCGTCGCCTCAGCCTCACTACTTTCGCATGGCCCACTCGACTTTCATCGGGTTCAAAGTTGAGATGCTGCGAATTTTCTTCGTGGGATTCTTGCGCTAGCGACAAGACTGGTCTGACGCATCGCGTCTGCCTCGCCACTTTCGTCGGATTCGATGCTGGGATACTGCGATACCTCATTGAATTTACCTCCTTGATTACTGTGTGCGCAACACAGTATCCCCAGTTGTTCTTCTCTCCATCAGTGCTGAAACCGCCATGTCGCCCTTGTCTTCTGCCAATACCACAGTGGTAATGGATCATATCTCCCTTCACCCCTCCACTCTCCCCCCCTCCTCTCTCTCCCCCCTGCGTCCCCTTTCCACGTCTCTTTTCTCTGTGCTCCTATTATCTGAATGATCCCCCCTTACCCCACCCCTCCTAGTTCTCCTCGTAATGGTGAACATCATCTCTCTCCCATTTTGGAACGATAACCGAGGGGCATCTACACACACAAATACTCAGTCATGCATGCACACACACACACACACACACACACACACACACACACACACACACACACACACACACACACATCCTGTGTAGACCGTGGAAGCGATGAAAACAGGAAGGAGAAAAATAGAAAACAGAAGCAAGAAGAAGGCATGTTAAAAGAAAAAGAAAAAAAAAGCATACGCAAGAATAAAACAAAATAACGAGTTGTTATTATTTTGTTTTGTTCTTGTGTATCCTTTTTTTTTTTTCTTTTGCTGCGTATTCTTTTAACATGCCGCCTTCTTGCTTCTGTTTTCTACTTTTCCCCTTTCAGCCCACACCAGGCTGTTAGGAGCTTGGGTGCTGCTCCCCGCACAGCACAGAGATAGGTAGGCTTAGACCCATAACCCATCGATAGTGCAGTTTAAACTCTAAACCAATGAATTTAAGCATACAGCCTTCCAAAAACCATTGACGCGAGGTTGTAGTGGTTTCAGCGAAGAAAATAGGGTAGCAAAATACAGCTGTCCCCCATATGAGAACATCCTTAAAACTGGAACGGCTGAATTGCTACGACCCGTTAGCTGTTTTACTCTCACGTTCACGAGTATTCCGTTCAACTGCGTATCAGAGACACGGTCGGGGTTCAACCAAGGGCTGGCTATTCCCAGTGATCCGAGTCTTCGCAGTGAGTTCTTCACTACGAGTACGCCTTTTGACCACCTCATTTATAATCCTTTTAGTAATCTGATTGCCTCAGGAATCAAACACAGGCCTGCTATCAACACAGATTCAACAGTAACATGGGAGTACCATTCACCGACATGGGCGGGGTCAACGGCCGCCTTTTGGCTTCTCCCCCGCTACCCATTTTCGGTGCACTGCAAGTAATAGAGCTCAGGTCTCCCAGTACTTGCCATTGGATGCACGTGATCCAATGGTTGACGAGAGAAGCATCCCCACTTTTTCATTTGTGGTGCTGTCTTTGCTATGCCACACAATGTAGATTCCTTTGTTGTGTTCTTACTCAACGTTCAATGTAGATCAGATTGTGGTCCCATCAGCAGCTCGATGAGATCGGTAGAGGGCAAGCCTGGACTCTACCATTCTAGAAGTTTGTGTGGCATGACAGATTGCACGGCACGAGAAGAGAAGAGGGCAATGTAGAAAGTCTTTTTTCTTGTGGTGGCGGCCTTGGCTGAACAAGAAGAGTGGTGCCATAGCCAGGTTGGTCGCTGAGTAGGAACGCCGACGCCATGGCCAGTTTGGGTGCTGAGGGAGACCAGAAGATTGGAGGATATGAGAGCATGCGTGGCCTGCACGGTTCTAGAAGCTTGGGGTGATGGCAAATCGTACGGCCAGAGAATCGAAGGGTGTGAATAGAAAATCTATTTTCTTATGGTAGCAGCCATGGCAGCACGGCGGCTGAGGAAGAAGGCTGCCGCCATAGCCAAGTTGGGCCCTGTGTAACAACTCCGGCATCATCAGGTTGAGTGCTGATGGAGATAAGAAGGTGGAGAGAGGAGGGGAGATAGTTCTGGGAAGAGGAAGACCATAGAGGCAGGCTCCAGTGAGGCACGTGGGAGCGGCATGGTAATCTTGGTCGAATAGGATATAGAGTAGATGATAACGTAGGTGGTCATTTGGGCTGGTACAGAGACCAGCAAGGACAGGCAACCATTAATACTGTTGTAATTGATTGTGCTGTATGCAATGCACGCAGACTGGACAAGTATAGCCTGCACTGAAATGTCGGAGTAGAGCAATCTAGCCAAAAAAGAAGAAAAATCTTATCCACCTACTACAGGTGGAAGCATTCTGTAATCTCTTCCCTTGCCCCCCAATCCGTTTGCCATCCGCTAATACCTAAGGGCCCAGTCAACCCCCAACTCATGACGATGTGTAGCTGATTGTAACTTAGCCTGATTGATTCAAAAGAGCGCCGGAGTACGCATGCCCCAAGTCCTCCTCAAGTCTATGAGGAAAACATAGTCATATGTGCATTGTACTGTAAATATTTACACAAGGAGTAGGTAATACGATACTGTAGAGTCAGTGTAGACATATGACTTCGGGCGTGCTCAACTTCCCCGGCCCGCAAACTGGGTATCAGGTTTACATGTGTTGTTAGCCTTCCATGTACATGAAAAAGACTGGGCGTGCTCGACTTCCCCGCCCCGCCCTCCCCTCTTCTTGTATACAAACTCTGCAGAGGATAGAAACTTCAAAAAAAAGTGTGTTGAGTGAACTTGAGTCTGTCGAGTCTACTTTCTGCCGTCAGTTTAGAACAGGACACAGTTGTGCTGCAGAGGAAATGCTCTTGACAGTTGTGCTGTGTAAATAAGGATCTGGTTGAGGCACCGAGCTGTTAAGCTTGAGGTCGCCGCCGATTCGATTCCGTGCAGGGTCGGATCTCAGGAAAAATACAGAATCTTTGACAGCTGTGCTGTGGACAGTAAGGTTCTTGAGTACAGCGTAATATGCCTGTAGTACCGTCTTCACCCGAATACAACATACGGTCATTATTGTTGCATCTAGACTCGAAGTTGTCCCAAATACAGCTGCTATAATGGCCGTATGTTGTCTTCGGGTGAAGGCGGTAGAGCACAACAGAAGATCGTTCGTCAAGCCCATGCTTTCTCTCTCTTCTTTTTCTTTTCTAATTCTTTTTCTTTTCTAAGGTGAGCAAATTGTTATGTCTCCTGGATTGACTCTCGTTTCGCTTCGACTGCAATGGGTTGCCCCTCCGTTATCCCGAAACAAGCTCGTGAAATAGGAGGAAGAGAAACAAAGGAAGGAAATACAGCACACCTGAAGCTCGCGTGTCTGCTGTTTATTGCCTTTTTTCACAAGCACGCGGAAAGAAACACTGCCAGTTGAATTCTCTTTTCCTTCTGCCTGATTGAAGGAGTCGTCTTGGTTGTAGCTACTCCTGGAGTGATCTTTATGGCCCTGCAGGGACACAGAGTTGTGGAGTCAAACGAAGCTGACGAGGACGTTCAAATTTTGGTTTAAGCTGACAGCCAGATTTTCATCATAAGTGCAGACTGGAGTAGCTTTCTTCATCCAAAGGATGCAATACATGACCCTTTTGCGCAATGCACAATATGATTGGAAACAGCGTAAAGTTCACAAGTAGAGTTCATAATGGCACAATACAATGTCCCCCCCCAAAAACCTACAAACATTATTGCTGTATGGGGACTGACAGTTGCCCCAAGGACAGGCAAAATATTATTGTTGTATGGAGACTGAAAGTTGCCCCAAATACAGGCACAATCACCGTACGTTCTACTAGGGGTAAGACGGTACAGTTCACAAATGACGTGTGTGGAACATCCATACAAGCTAACGCCAGATTATCCTGAAAGAGGCAAGACTCCATAAGCTTTTCATTCAATGGACCAGCATACATGCCACTTCCATGCAAGCAACTCTTGATCATGAGCGACGCTAAAGATACCCGATAAAAACGACAGAGACCCGAGTCAACACGCTGGAGAACTGCCAAGGATGCAGGGACCTTGCAGACACCTGGCCATGTCCTTTTGAGTGGGGTGAGAATATATACAGTAGAGCCTCGCCCAAGTATCGAAACCAAATGCCACAATGAGGGCAAGGGCTACGTAGTGCTGCTTGAGATCGGGTTCATATCCATCGGATAGAGCAGAAAAACACACACCTCGAACAGATTCATCGGCAAGGCCATGTTCAAGGTGGGGCCTTTACGCATCTCAAACTTGCGCGCCTCGATGCTCTCCTGCATGATCGCACGATACTCCCTCTCGAAAGCAGCTTCCTCCTCAGGATCGACAGCCCGGCTCTGCCTCACCTCAACGCGGTCCTCGTCCAAACCCACCACGACCTCCTGACCTTCCTCCTCTTCGCCTTCCTCCTCCTCTTCCTCATCCTCATCGCCCTCTTCGTGGTCATCATCGTCCTCTTCATCTACTTCCTCATCGGGCTCTCCATCCTCTGCTTCTCCATCTTCCTCTGCATCGCCATCGCCTTCCTCCTCCTCCTCCTCGTCTCCGCATTCCCTATCGGTTGCACTCCCATCGTCACTCTCACTCTCTTTCCCCCTTGTGTGTTGATCGCCATTGTTCATCGCATTCTCCCCCTTCCATTTTGCCCCTCTCCCATGTTCCTTGCTCTCTGTTTGAGCCCCATTGTCAACCAACTGCACCTTGCGTCCGCTCTTCTCTTTCTCCACTGTTGTGGAGTCCGCCGCGGTGGCTGCGTGCTCCTGCCGCTCCATCTCCAACACTGCTTCGTGTGCAGCATCAAAGCTCGTGAAGCGTATCATTTTTGGTCTCAAATCAGCAAATAGATCCTGTTGTTGTCCAAAGAAAACATTCCACTCATACATCCGTTACTCACATTGAAAAATCTGCTGTGCAGGTAAAGGATTTGCAAAAGTTAAGGGTACACCAGAAGTCGCGGAATCTTCTCCCACACTAGACCCATAGCCAACCATTTCCCGATTTGTACGAATCACCTCTGTATCGTTTCAAAATTCAATGGTTGCCCCACAGCCAGGAGCACTATGTTCATTAAAGTGACAAAACCTTCCCCAGTGCACCCAGCGCCAGGAGCACTACGGTCCATCTCTAGATAGTCAATGGGAAGTTATATCTCTCAAGTCTTGACTCAAGGCGCAGGAAATGCTACATCTCAATACCTTGAGAGGAAAGTCATACCATTGCAACTCTGGGATTCAGTAGAATAACCTGGAAAGTGTTCAAGCTGTGGGCCATAGGCGCATGCCGAAGTCGGTACGGTTGTGGAACATAGGAGTTTGACCCAGTCGTCACGCACTCCTATGCCCCACAGGGGAGTATTTCTCCTCTACTCTGCTTCTCTTTCCCTCTTGGGGAACTGGGATTGTAGGCCAGTTGCCGCAGTTCTGCGAAGCCTTCCACAGGGTCCGTTTACACATCCGTTCCCCTACTTTTTTGTTCCCCATTTCACCCTACCCTAGTCTTCTCCCCTGTGAAAGCATTCCACAGGGTCCGCTGACGCGTCCCTTCCCCGCCTTTATTTTTTTTCTTTTCACCCATTTCACCCTACCCTACTCTCTGCCCTCTTCTCTCCCCTCTTCTCCACTGCTTGATCAATCGTGCCATCACAAAACAACAAAGAAGATACAGTGCTCGTCTTTGTGAAAATATACACAAAACGTCCCTCCCCTCTGGCACATGATGCGGAATGCTAGATCTTTCTGATCTTCTACTTTTTTTATGGGTTCTTTAAAAGTGTTCCAACTTCTAAGAACTGGCATCTGAATTTGAAGCGCTCAGCAGACGCATTTCTCCTAAATTCTCCACATTACCATCAAGAAGGAATCAAGACTCATTATGAGAAAAATGCAGGGCCTTCACGCAACATCCGGAAGCCCGGGTTTCCCTGTCGTTGAAACGAACCACCCACATGTCACTCCGGTGATGATCAGTGAATCGCTTTGCAACTCTCAACAGGGTACAATTAAGCCACCTGTCTGATGGATGCTGAATAGCTCAAAATATACATAACCGTTGATGGACAGATCAAGAACTGAGAACGCTTCGAATACAAAGTCGAACCCTTTGGAATACAATAAGGGTATAAGGGCTACCCCCTTGTCTTCCAAAAAACAGTCAGAATAAATATTTAAACAAGGATAGAATGAAGCTAGAGCTCAAAAGCAAGGGTAGAATGAAGAGCTCAAAAGCAAGGGTAGAATGAAGCTAGAGCTCAAAAGCAAGGGTAGAATGAAGCTACAGCTCAAAAGCAGGATAGAATGAAGCTACAGCTCATGACTATGTCCTTTTCAGCAATGGAAAAGCAGGCGCCGCACACGCTATCTGTACTTAGGGGGGCATACTCGCACACAAACTTTCTCCCCACTAAGCTCTGTACGCTATTGCAGTCAGATTCATGCAGCTCTGGCCGTCTTTGCAATCAGATGCATTCTGGAAAGTTCTGGTGTGAGTATGCCCTGACAGGCGTCTCCATGATACCTTATCCTATAATATTCTCGAGTGTTGAATTGACCGTTTACTACCACCGAAAATTGAGCATTGTGCTTCAGACCATCAACTCTTCATCACGATGACAAGAGCACTTCACACAGAAGGGTTCAAAAGTTCACTTCTGAAATTACTTACAGTAAATATACTAAGTAGCAAGCACAGAAATGACCAACCAGCCAAGACACGAAAGAGAGAACTTTTGGGCAATGAAGGCACCGAAAGCTCTGTTCACGCCCATCAGGCAAGTCGCAACCGGCAACATACGATGCGCCGAAAGTCATTCAGTACTGAAACTCTCGAGTGAGAAAATAAGCTCGGTAGTTAAACTACGGGCCTTGCCGCACCACTTGCCAAACGCCCCAACATTTGAAATGCATGTGGACATGTCATGGTCCCAATACATTCAACGTGTTAGCATTTGGTGAGCCGTGCGGCAAGTGCCTACCTCACAAGACAAAGACGGATGTCAACTGGCACAACTGCATGCTGATTACTCGCTGGTTCAATTGTTATGAGGTGCCCAATTCCGATTGGGCTGCAGGGACTCCACTCCATAAATAACGGGATGAAATACTGACCGAGATTCAAACTGTCACTGGTTTGTATTCGAGGGTTGAGTCCCTGGTCCCCACAATAGAATGTGGGCCGTGCATGGCCAAAAATTCGAAGTCTGGTTCATTCTTTTTCTGTTCCTAAATAACGGGAGACAGAAACTAGTTAGGTAGTAACAACTAGGAAATCTAATACGTACCAAAGGGCAGAGTAGTCACGCCGACGGTCGGCACCCCTGGATCGGCCAGGGGCCGACCAGCCGACTCTTGGACCTGTCTCTTATACACATCTAGATGTGTATAAGAGACAGGTCTAATACGTACCAAAGGGCAGAGTAGTCACGCCGACGGTCGGCACCCCTGGATCGGCCAGGGGCCGACCAGCCGACTCTTGGACTGATCGGCACCTGCCAGTTGGAGGTCATTCCGCACCCCGTTTTTTTTTTTCATTTTCCTTTTTGGGCTGTCTCTTATACACATCTAGATGTGTATAAGAGACAGCAAGTGCAGTACAGCCCTGAAAAAAGAAAACAGCAGATGGCCCTCTACAGACTGCCGACCAGTCCGCCTATGGGTCGGCCCGACTGGTAGGCGAGTCATTGGCCTACGGTCGGCATGGGCCGTAGGCGGTCTGACAACCCTGCCGAAGGTCCTATCAGTTGGTAAACCCATGAAGTGATGACACACTGACCGGAGGAATCCACACGGAATTAGATGAACAGAACTGAATAACTCTTCTTTGTTCTTGTTTTTCTAAAAGGAATGTAATATGCATGAAATGCATGAACAAAACAATAAACATACCTGCAAATCGAACTCCACATCAAGGGGGATTGATCCTTTTGCCAAAATGTATCGCTGGAAGTAGAGCAAGAAACGATCCAGGCGCCGCTTCGACGATCCTCGGTCGAAAAACTGACCACACGTCTCCAGCAGTGTTATGACCATGCGTATACGAAAGCAGTCTTCGGGTGGGTCAATAACTTCTTCCTGTGCACAACGACCATCGACATTTACAGCCAAGAGTCACGATCGATTCGTTTTTGTAACCATCATAATGCCTTGCCTTGTTCCGCAAACTGCTAGCACATGAAAAGCACCATCGTGTGGCGACTTTTCATGTTTTCGTGACCATCAAGCCCAGAATGACTATGCACATATTTCCTGGGAATAAACATATTCTGCAAGGAGACAGACACTCACTCAAGCACCATCCATGTCTACGCGAGTGTGCAGATATGGAAAACATACGAAACACAGGAAAAGCAAGTTCGCCTTCTTCCTCAAAGTCACCACACAGTTCACTGAAACTTCAGATTTACTTGCCAGATATCGCACACACACACGCACACCACGGAATTATCGATGGTGCAGCTGTTGTGGGTCGGGGCCCACAAATACCCCACACGCTTGCAACTTCGAGATAGCAGGTCGGGCTCAACCCCTCAATCAAGTTCAAATTGAAGCTTCAGTGAAACTTCCGACAACACAAACCCTGCCACTCGCTGCTACACCACACAGATCAGAGTCAATGCAGTCTTCTTGTGCTACAATGTCTACTACGCGAGCATGTCTCCTCTCCTCTCGCTCTCTCTCCTAGGATCTCTCCCTGAACATGGAAGTGATGCTCCTACTCAATGGCTTCACTCTCCACCGAGCAGAAGCTCTCTCCTACAAACGCCCGGCACAACAGCGTGATCCCACTCCAAAAGCACTAGAAAACAAGAGCTATCAGATTGCAATACGCTCACCCTACTCCAAAAGCACTAGAAAACAAGAGCTACCAGATGGCAATACACTCGCCCTACTCCAAAAGCAGTAGAAAACAAGAGCTACCAGATGGCAATACGATCGCCCCACTCCAAAAGCACTAGAAAACAAAAGTTAGAAGATGGCAACCCGATTGCCCTACTACTCCAGCTATGGCTGTCTTCTTCACCGCACAGCACACTGCTTGATTTCACGAACCGGCACCACACAGAATGAATGGATCTTCCAAATGACGGACACAAAAACAAGTTTTGTCTCTCGGGGTACTTGCCCCGTTTGCCCCCTGGAACCCTGGAGATAGCTTGGTGGACTCACAATTACCGCACAAGTGGTACTAAGCATTGACTTCACGTATACACAAGAACAGGTCTCCGGTTCAAGACTCTACAGGCACAGTCAACGCAATACAGATGCGTGTACGTCAACAGGTAAGGGCGTAGGTAAGTCAACGTCAGGTTCCTGGTTCAAACTTCAGCAGCAACACTCAGGCATACAATGCAGCACCACACGCAGCAACACTCAGGCATACAATCCAGCACAACAGGCAGCAACAACAGCAACAGGCCTCAGGATCAAATCACGACAGGTTAAAAAGGTGAAATCCTTTCAATTCCTAGAGAGTTCAAGACACAGCCTATTGCAAATGCGCATGCATGGGAACTAAGACTCTCTCTCTCTCTCTCTCTCTCTCTCTTGCAGTGCAGTACTTGCAAATCTGCATCTGAAAATAATTGAACCGAATAATGAGATCTGGCGAGTAACTACACCCATGGAACAGAAAACCCACCATGCCCTCAGGTGGGCCCTTGTGTGACCTGGGCCACATGGGCCAGCCCAGAAGTCAAATCATCCACAGACTGCGGTTCTCTTCGATCAATGCCTTCCACTACGATGCGGCATGAATTGTACTGGTCGATTTCTTTGCTTAACATGTTATTTCCCTTCAAGACCCAGACAACAAGGCTGTTTTCAACAAGGCATGACACGCACGTAGATGCCTCGGTGAACAGACTCAACTACCTGTACATCATATACAGCTGTTTGTGGCAATAACATTTCTGTGACAAAAAGTAACAGACGACATGTGAGAGTGAACGAGGGCATGTATGCAGAAGCAGCCAGAAGGCACAGAGAATCAATCCTTGCTCCACAAAGTGTGATAGCATGCCCCCACCACACGCCGCCCCCAGACTCGAGAGAGACCTGACATTGCACCCAGCCCGGGGGCTTGGTGGTGTCTGAGTCAGACCATCAGACCATCCATCAAATCATGCCAACGCACCCTCAGTGTGTTGTTAGCCTAGAATTCACCGCACAGGTGCGGCACAAGAGCAGCACAGTTTTCAAGAGCACCATGAACCCTGAGGATGACGATATTGGAGGACCACAACCGTCACTTATATACATACAAGGACGCAACTAGCCATTACACCAGTAGAAATTCTCTCACGAATCTCCGAGCTTACTATCCCGATTAAAAAAAAAACGAAAACGGCAAAATGTAGCTTGCCCCCCCGAAAAACAATCCAGGCCTACGATCGGCCTGAAACAATAACGTCCGCTGTCATTTTCTGATTTTACGCCAAGCGGAAGGTGGGGAGGAGGGGAAGGGCCTGGAGCATTTGGTCGAACATCGACCTTCCAGCAGGCTCTTGTCGCTGAATGGTACACGAGCACTTCTGCTAGTAAACACATCATGAGTTCGAATCCCATCCTCCTTTGCCTCAGCGCCCTACAGATACGGCGCTGAGCTTCTTCCTCAACCCAGGTATAATTGGCGCTGGCTGGGTGTTGTTGGGTGTTGCCCTGTCCTGCAGCGCTGTGAAGACCTAGCGCGCCTGCAGCCTGGCAGCATCCTGCCTTCGTGGTCCCTGTTCAACGACTAGGCACTGTCTTCTGGAGTCTTCTGTTACCACCATGCCCTAATGGGTCTCAGGCAGCCCTAATGGGACCTGTGGGACCTGTCCTTAAGCTGACCGGGCCTGCACTTTTTCTGACCCGAGCTCAGTGCCCTAATGGGTCTCAGGCAGCCCAAACGGGACCTGCACTCCTGCTGAGAGGCTCAGAGGACCTCACATAAAGGAAAAAGAAGCAGCACAACACAAACACCATAGGGCACAAAGAATTACAACAACACAAGCAGGTGCAGCCAGCGCAGCTCCGCCCGCGAAAAAAGTCAGGAAGCAACCCCAATGAAGAATCTCACTTCGCTCTTTCTGTCTCTGACTCTATGTTTTCGTTGTTAGTGTATGGCTGGTGCTTTCTGTATCACTGTCTTCTGTCTTTCTAAGTGTTTGTCGAAAGCAGAATAGTAAACAGCAATAGTCACAAACAGCAAGGGCATACACGGTCACAAACAACATAGTAAACAGCAACAAATCTTCAACGATTCGAAGAAACATTATCATCGTCACCGAGAAAGAGTAGGAAACAGAATCGCTAAACTTAAAATAAACCGGCCACAAACGCCATCCACATATTCAATTTCACCGATTCGATTAACAAGAGGTCAAGTTATGTTCACCGGTCACACC